CCCATGTCCTCACCAACATTTATCATTACTGGTTGCACTAGTCAGGGAGGAACAGAATCAACAGGAGATATAATTATAAAAAGGGGACTTATTAGGTTGGCTTACTTGACCAGAAACTGAGTAGTCCACAATGGCAATCTGCAGGCTGGAAAGCTGGAAGAACCAGTAGCCGTGCAGTCCAAGTGGCTGAAGTCCCAGAACAAGAGGGATCAATGGTGCTACCCTAGTCGCAGGCAAAGGTTTCTGGAGAATCATTGGCAGAGTCTGCTTTGGAAGAATGAAGAAACAAAGAGTCTGGTATCTGCAGAAGATCACAGCAGCAATCAACAACCCATTCAAGAAGAATCAAGTTTGCATCTGTTGTGGCTTCCTTGTTCTTCCAACTTTTATTCCATGCAAGCCATCACCCTATTGGTTGGTGCTGCTCATACTTAGGGAGCGTCTTTATTTTCAGTTGGCTATCCCACATGACAATCATTCATAGACACACCCTCATCTACACCTATATTCCTCTTAATCCAATCACTTTGAAAATTCAAATTGACCATTACACTCTTATTCTTGATAATTACCGTTCTCACTAGAGTGAGATGAAACCTCAGTGTAGTTCTAATTTTCATTTATCCAATTGCTTGGAGATGTTGAACATTTTTTCATATATTTGTTGACCATTTGTATTTCTTCTTCTGTGAAGTGCTTTTTTTACTTCCTTTGCCCATTTATTGAGTTATTTGTTTTATTGATGTTAAGTTTTTTGAGTTTATATATCCTGGAGATTAATGCTCTGAGGTGCAGGTGGCAAAGATTGTCTCCCATTCTGTAGACTCTCTTCATGGTCTTAATTGTTTCATTTGCTGTGAAGAAGCTTTTTAGTTGGATACCATCCCATTTATTGATTCTCATTGAAGAATTCTATTCCTAAGCTGATATGACAGAAAGTTAGGCCTACAATTTCTTCTAATAGGATGTAATGCCTAGGCAGGTCCTCTATCCACTTTGAGTTTTGTGCATGATAAGAGATAGGGGTTCAATTTCATTCTGCTACATGTGGATTCCCATTTTTCCCAGCACCATTTTGTTGAAGAGCCTCTTCACTAATTTTAAATAATTGGAATAATATGAAGTTTTTTTTCTAGCTACCATGCAATGAAAGTGAAAATGTGTTACAAGATAAATTTTGGAAACTATGCAGTGCATGAAAATTAAACAAGATACTCCTGAACATCCAAATGGTCAATGAGTAAATTAAGAAGGAATTTTTTTAAATTGCTTGAAATCAATGGAAAAGTAAACACAATATACCACTTGGTATATTGTGAAAAGCAGTACTAACAGGGTCATTTACAATTAATGATTACATCAAAAAACCAGAAAGAGCTTAAACAACCTGTAGAAGGACCTTAAAGAACCAGAAAAGGAATAACAAAGCAAAACAAAACTAGTACAGAGAAATATTAAAGAAATAATCAAAATAGACTAAAATAATAAATATAATCAATAAAACAATGATATCAAAAAGATAAATGAAATTGATAACCCCTTGTATAGACTGAGAAAAAAGTAGCCTCAGAAAAACAAAATCAGAGCACAAGAATTAAAACCAAGAATCAATAAATGGGATGGAATCAAACTAAAATGTTTTTTCTCAGCAAAAAAAAACAATTTGTGAAGTGAATAGAGAGCCCACATCCTGAGAACAAATTTTTACCCCTCACTCAGATAGAGCACTAATCTCTAGGGTATATAAAGAACTCAAAAAGCTAAACACCAAAAAAAAAACAAATAACCCAATCAACAAATGGGCCAAGGACCTGAACAGACACTTCTCAGAAGAGGATATACAATCAATCAACAAATACATGAAAAAATGCTCATTGTCTCTAGCAATCAGAGAAATGCAAATCAAAACTACTCTAAATATCATCTCACTTCAGTCAGAATGGCAGCTGTTATGAAGACAAACAACAATAAGTGTTGGTGAGAATGTGAGGAAAAACATACACTTATACACTGCTGGTGGGACTGCAAATTGGTACAGCCAATATGGAAAGCAGTAAGGAGATTCCTTGGAAATCTGGGAATGGAACCACCATTTGACCCAGCTATTCCTCTCCTTGGACTATACCCAAAGGACTTAAAACCAGCATACTACAGGGACACAGCCTCATCAAGTTTATAGCAGCACAATTCACAATAGCTAATTTGTGGAGCCAACTTAGATGCCCTTCAGTGGATGAATAGATTAAAAAAATGTGGCTTATATACACAATGGAATTTTACTCAGCAATAAAAGAGAATAAAATCATGGGATTTGCAGGTAAATGGATGGCGTTGGAGAAGATAATGCTAAGTGAATTTAGCCAATCCCCCCCCCAAAAATGCTGACTCATAGTGGGGTAGGGAGGGGGAGCATGGGAGGATTAGATGAATTCTAGATAGGGAAGAGGGGTAAGAGGGAAAGGGAGGGGCAGGGGATTATCAAGGATGGTGGAATGTGATGGACATCATTATCCAAAGTACATGTATGAAGACTCACTGGGTGGCAACATACTTTATATATAAACAGATATAAAAAATTGTGGTATATATGTGTAATAAGAATTGTAATAGAAAAAAATACATGTACAAAGGCATGAATTGGCATGAACATACTCTACATACAAAGATATGAAAAATTGTACTTTATGTGTAATAAGAATTGTAATGCATTCCACTGCCATTTATTTAAAAAAAGAAAACTAAAAAAATTGATAAAAATCATGATAAAATAAAAAAAAGAAAATTAGGATGAAGAAAGAAACAATACAACTGATCCCAGAGAACTACAAAGGGTTAATGGAGATGATTATGAACAATAATACTTCAAGTTTGATAAGCTAGAAGAAAGGGACAAATTCCTGGACCCATATACCTTACTAAGAGTGAATCCTGAAGAAATAGAAACCTGAACAGATGGATAATAAGTAATGAGATTGAATCAGTAATAATAAGTCTCCCATTAAAGGAAACCCCAAACCTAGATGGTTTTCATTGCATTCTAACACTTAAGGAGAGAAAATTATCAGTATTTTCCAGATTATTTTCAAAAGATTGAAAATGAAGGAATTCTTCCAAACTCATTCTATGAGTTCAGCATGACTCTAATACCAAAACCAGATGAGGATACAACAACAAAAGCCATAGGCCAATATCCTTGTTGAACCAAAATGTAAAGATCCTCAGTAAATTATTAGTTAATAACAATACAATTATTAACTATGATCAAGCAGTTCATTCCAGGAATTGGATGATTTGCCATACACAAATCAATAAAGCCAATAAAACACATCAACAGAATATAGCACAAAAGCAAATGATTATCTCAATATGTATAGGAAAAGCATTTGATAAAATTCAGTATTCCCTCTCATAAAACTTGAACTAGTCAAGTATAGCACTATTTTCCTCTACATTTTATATATAAATATATATGCCACATCTAACTAGCCCAGAGCCAACATCATACTGAATAGAGAAGAGTAAAAATTTAAGATTTGAAATAAAAGGTTGTCCACTTTCAGCACTTTTATTCAACTTAGTTACGAAGTCCTCACCATAGCAATTAAGGCAAGAGAAATAAATGATGGGTCTACAAACTGGAAAGAAGTCAAATTGTAACTGTTTGCAAACAACATATTATATATAGAAAACCTCAAAGACTACCAAAAAAATACAAGAATTAATGAATTCAGCAAAGCTGTAGTATGCAAAAAATCATACATAAATTAGTAGCATGTCCATGCTTCAATAACAGATCTTTAAAAGGCAGGCAGCAAGCTCATTTACAATAGATAAAAAAAAACTTATAGGAATAAATTATCCAAAGAGGTGAAAGTTGTCTACAATGAAAATTATAGAGCCTAAGGAAAGTAATTGAGGAGGACATATATAATGGAAGGATATTGTTATTTGGAATGTTCCTCAAAAGCTCAAGTAATTATAGGATTAGTCACCAAATCAGCAATGTCTAGGGGTAAGGAAACAAATGGATCATAAGGGCTTTAACCTCATCAGTGGATTAATCCATTTGACTTGTGAATAATTTGAGTGCATTATTGGGAAGTGGGACCTAACCGGAGAAAGTAGGTTCTGGAGGTATGCCCTGGAAAAGTTTATCTTGCCTGGCCCCTTCTTCCCTTGTTTCCCTGCTGCCCTGATCTGAGCAACTTCTCTCTACCACACATCCTTCCACCATAAGGTTTCTGCCTGACCTCAGGCCCAAAGCATTGGAGCCAGCTGACCTTAAACTGAAATTTCTAAAACTCAGAGCCAAACAACTTTTCCTCCTTTGTTTATGACAGGTATTTTGGTTACAATAATGAAAAGCTGACTAGCACATATATCCTGTGTTCATGGACTATAAGAATATTGTCAAAATTTTCATATTACCTATAGTGATATATAGATCTAATGCAATTCCTATTAAAATCCCTATGACATTCTTCACAGGTATAGAAAAAGAAGAAAAATCATAGGGGACCCTAAGAACTCCAAACAACCAAAGTGCCTTTGAGCATATAAAGAGCAAAGCAGGGGATATCACATGACCTGATAAAAAATATACTACAAAACTCTAGTATCTGAAGCAGCATTCTTTTGGCATAAACCCAAATATGCAGACTGTATAGAGTCTACGAGTGAACTGATACCTATGCAGAAAACTGATCTGTGTGAAAGGTTTTAAAAGCATGCATTAGAAAGGATAGTCTCTTCAATAAATTATACCAGGAAAACTGGATATACACAATGTAGCACAATGAAAGTAGACACTTATTTCTCACCAGTCACAAAGATCAACTCAAAATGGAGCAAGGATTTCAGTATAAGACCAGAAGTTATGAAACTACTAGAAGGAATACTGGGCATATGCTTCAGGACATTGGAATAGGCAAGAAATAAGAGATCAAAGTAAAAATTGATAAATGATATTATATCAAGTTAAGATGCTTCTGTCAAGCAACATGGGAGAAGAATCATCACAATTCAAGGTCAGCCATGGGAACTTAGCAAGATCTGTCTGAAAATTAAAAAAAAAGGGCTGGGATATAGTTCAGTGGTAGAATACCTCTGGTTCAATCCCCAGTATCAAAACAAAAACAGCATAAAACTAAAATGCTTCTATACAACAAAGATGAACAATAAAGAGACAATCAGTAGAATGGGAGAAAATATTGGCAAACTATTCATCTAAAAAAGTGTAATATGCAACATAAATAATGAACTAAAAAAACTCAAGAAAAAACAAGTAATCCAATTTGTAAATGAGAAGATCTGAATAGACACTTGTTGAAAGAAGAAATGCAGGTGGTCCAAATATATGAAAAATTGCTCAATATCATTAATCATCAGGGAATCAAATAATAATAATAATAGCAACAACAACAACATTATACAAAATAGAATGGGTATTGTGTACCAGGTAGAAGGCTAAATTAGCATATCATTATGAAAACAGTATGGAGATTCTTCAAAAAAATTAAAACTAGAACTCCCAGATTATCCAGCAAGCCCATTTCTGGGAACATATCCAAAACAAATGAACTCAACATAGTACATTGAAGAAATATCTGCACTTCCATGTTTAGTGCAGTATATTCACAATAGTCAAGATATGTATACAATCTAAGTGTCAATAAACTGATAAGTGGATAAAAACGTATGTGTGAGTGTTGAAATATTCTTCAGCCATAAAATGAATGAAATCTTGTCATTTGAGACAACTTGTATGGAACTAGTGCAGACTGTATTAAATGAAATAAGCAAACATAGAAAGCACATATAAGATCTCAGTTGTATATGTTGATCTCACAGAGAGTAGAAAATAGAATAGTGGTTGCCAAAGACTGGAGAGAGTATGGGGAGGGAGGAACGGGGGAATGTTGGTCACTGGGTACTAAATTATAGTTAGATAGGAAAAAGAAGTTCTGGTGTTCTATTGCACATCAGGGTGACTGGAGGTAATGATAATGTATTCAACAAATGAATAATGTTTGACGAGATAGATACGCTTATCTTGATTTGAACATTATTCAATGTATATAAGCGTGGAACACCATAGTATTCTATGAATATGTACAATTTTATGGTTCAGTGAAATGAACCCAGAGAAACAAAATAAAGAACTTAAAGATGTAAATAAGTGAGTAGAATGCAATGCTCATGAAATTGAAGTCTAAATATTATTTATATCTCAATTCTTCCACATCGCTGTGCAGATTCAAGAAAATACCAATCAAAATCCCTGCAGGATTTTTAAGGATATAATTTAATAAGCTGATACAAAAGTTTATGTGAAAAAAAAGAGGATCCACAGAGCCCAAATGATTTTGAACAAGAAAAACTAGTTTTATAGTGTTATGTATGTGTATGTATACATATTTTTATTTATTTTATGTGATGCTGGGCATCAGTTCCAGGGTCTTGCACATTCCAACCACACGCTCTACCTCCGTGCTAAACTCAAACCCTGTTTGTATTATAGAAGGTACACACACGGACACACACACACACAAGTTTTCTTCAAGTGTGTTTAAATGTTTTATATTAGAATTATTTAAACTAACAAAGCCTAAGATCAAAATTTTTTCCAAACATTTTCCTTTTTGTTTTAGGAGGAGGTATTTCTATTTTTAAAAAATTTAAGGCAATCAAGTAGTGTTAGGCAATCAAGTAGTATGTCTTTTTATTATTCACACCAACTCTTTTTTTTACTTTGAAATTAGATTACAGTTACAGGACAAGGCCTTACTCCAGTTTTGCATTTATAATGTAATGCAGGGAACAACTCCAACACAAACATGAGTATACACTACCTCAGTGTATCACTCTAAACTGAGGAATTATTTTCTGAAGACTTATAATTACTTCTCCCAATCTCAAATGGTAACAATTTCAGAAAATGTTAGGCTATAGTTGATTTCCAATAAAATGGTAACTTTGTTTAAAATTATAGAATTTTAAACATTAATAATCAACATATACTTTCCTCTTATATAAACCTTTATATTAAATGATGTATCTTATGATTTTCTTCTTTTGCTTTAAATGCAAGACTAAAAGAAAATTCTTATTTAACCAAAAGCTGTTTTTATATTCCAACTTCTCTTGCAAACCTGCTGGCACACATATTAGGAGGAGATAGTTGAAATCATGGAGTTCTCTATTTGTTGTATGTTAATTCAATTAGGTATGCACAAATGTTATTACTTTTCTATTTTTAATCTACGGAACAGATGACTGAAATTTCTTCAATTTATAACTAATTATTCAGACTTATTTTTATAATTTTTTATTCAATTATATTATCTGTCATTTCCTAACTTTTAAACCTAATAGAAATTTCATTAATAGACTTTCCCAGTATCATCTAAGGATCTTTAAATGTTCTATAAATCCTAGAATTCTGATTAAAATATCTGAAGGCATTTTTCTTCTTTTATCTGTCTGAAGTTCAAATCATGCTAATTGTGTCAATCTGAAGTTAATGTTGGCTTGGAAAGTTTGCTATGACTAAACATCTGCTTTTGTGGCTATTTGCTGTCCAAATTTTTCCCCACTATGGTGTCAGGTACTTTGGGAAAAGGAGAATCACAGGAATAAGGGAGTGGGGAAGGAGAATTGGGGGACAGGAGATGAGGATAGTTCTGGATCTGTACCCTCCAACAATACCACCAGTACAGGGTATTCAGCACTAACTTGGAAAATGCAGTTCTCAAAACATTGTTGGCTTCCTGATGTTCTTCTTTGTTGATCTGCTAAGGACATATTGTAATTAACCTATAGTATCTCTTATACTATTTTAGTTTTTTTTTTAAAGGGAGGTAATTTTATCTAATTTACTCTGTCCACCTAGTCCCAAGTTAAGCATAAAATATATGGAGAAGTACAGGAAACAAAAATTTTCATGAATTGAACTCATTACACAATCTATATTAAGAAATTGGAGAAAGCATACAAAAAAGAAATTGGAGAAAGTGAGGTGAGCAAGACAGAGTAGGAGTTCTCTGTATTCCACTTGCTCACACAGAAATCCAACTAGGAATGATCCACAGGCAAGAATACATCCATGGATATCCCAGAACTTGTCAGTGAGGTTGAGACACCCCCTTGAATTGCAGAATTTAAGAAGTACCAACAGCAGAAGTAATACATAGTCATACCCAGAATTATCTAAAGCTTTAAGGGTAGTATGTAAACCAATTTATCATTACTCTGACAGTTAAAAGACAAAACTATTAAAAACAACTGTAGTTACAGTAAATTGTTATGGGATACAAATTGTTTTTAGAAATCTCATAAATTTTGACATAAAATCATAAATCAGTATAGAGGAGGGAGTGAAAGTATCATTTCTATATTGATTAAAGTTGTCATCACCTTAAAGTAGCCTGTTGCAAGGATAAGATATTTTTGTGTATGCCTTGTGGTAACTGCAAAGTAAAAGCTTAGGGTAGTGGCACAGCTTACAAAATGCAGGCATTCAAAGCACACCATCACAGAAAACCATCCAGTCACAAGGGGACAGCAAGAGAGGAACAGAGGGAACTACAAAGCAGTCAGAGTGATTAAGAAAAAGGTAGTAGTTGGGTTTGGGGTTATGGCTCAGCAGTAGTGCGCTCACTCTGCATGTGCAAAGCCCTGGGTTCAATCCTCAGCACCACATAAAATAAAAGTTACTGTGTACAACTACAAAATTTTTTAGAAATATATATATTAAAAAAAGAAATTTTTTAAAAAAGAAAAGAAAATGGCAGTAGCAAGTCCTTAACTGTCAATTTCCTAATAAAAAGATAAGAGTAGTTGAGCAAATATGTTTAAAAGATCCAATCAGGGCTGGGGATGTGGCTCAAGTGGTAATGCGCTCGCCTGGCATGCACAGGCACTGGGTTCGATCCTCAGCACCACATAAAAATAAAATAAAGATGTTGTGTCCACTTAAAACTGAAAAATATTTTTAAAAATTCTCTCTCTCCTCTTTTAAAAAAAAATCCAATCATGTTTCCCACAAGAGACTCAACTCATCTTTAATGACTCACAGTCTGAGAGTAAAAGGATAAAAAGATTCTGCACAAAAGAGTACGGGAGCAATACATAGGTAGACTAGACTGAGTCAAAATCTGCATAGAGACAAAGCCAAGCTCAATGGTGCACTCCTGTAATCCCAGCTATTCAGGAGGCTGATGCAAGAGGATTGCGGGTTTGAAGCCAGCTTGGGCAGTTTAGTGAGATGACTCCAGATGGAAAAAAAAGGTCTGGGGATGTAGCTCAATAGTAGAGTGCTAGCCTACATGTGTAAGGCTCTAAGCCCCATCCTCACTACTACTAAAAATTTAAGAAGGTCATTTTATAATGAAAAAGGAGTTAATTCTCCAAGAGGACATAACAATTGTAAATATATATATATATGTACTCAAAAGAGCACCTAAAAACAGACTTTCATTAAATGATCTAGGGAGAGATACATTATACTATTATACTTGTAGGGGACTTCAGTACTGCCCTTTCAATGAAAGATAGATGATCTAGATAGGAAGAAGGAAACATTGGATTAGAATTACACTTTAGCCCAAGTGGGCCTAACAGACATATACAGAACATTCCATGTAAAAGCAGCATAATACACATTTTTCTCAAGTACATATGAGACATTCTCCAAGATACAGCATATTTTAGGCCACAAAACAACCAATTCAAGAAGATTAAAGTCAAATCAATTATCAAATCATTATCCCAATGGCATGAAACTAGAAATCAATACCAGGAGAAATCTTGGAAAATACACAGATATTTAGAAATTAAACAACATGCTATAGAATAAACGAGTCACAAAAAGAATGAAGAGAGAAATGAAAAAAATACCTTGAGACAGAAAAAATGAATACATGACACACTAGACCTTAAGGGACATAGCAAAAACAAGACTGAAAGGTAAATTTATAGCGATAAAAACCTACTTCAAAAAAGAAAGATCTCAAACAATCTAACATTATAACCTCAGGGAACTAGGGGTGAAAAAAGAGCAAACTAAGCTCAAAGTAAGCAGAAGGAGGGGAAATAAATGACAAAAATGGTAGAAATGATCAATGAAATTAAGAGTTGTGTTTTTTCTTTAAGATAAAATCAGTAAACCCTTAATTAGATGAAGGAAGAAAAAAAGTGGAGATTCAAATAAGATCATAAATGAAAGAGGAGAAATTAAACTGATAATACAAAAATAAAAGGGTTAATAAGAAACTACTATGAATAAGTAGAATCCATTAGATTGGATGATCTAAAAGAAACTGATAATTCCTAGGCACAGATGAACTACAAAGACTAAGTCATGAATAGAAAATTTGAACAGACCAAAAATGACTAAAGAGATTGAATTAGTAATAAAAGTCTCATTATCAAAGAAAAGCCAGGATTGAACAGTTTTATTGCTGAGTTCTCCCAAATATTTGAAGAACTAACAAATTATTCTCAAATTCTTAAAAAAAAAAAAGTGAAGGGAATAGTTTCAAACTCATTTTACAAAGCCTAAATTACCGAGCCAAAGAGAAAATTACAGGTCAATATCTTTTTTTTTTTTTTACATTTTTTAAGTCATAGGTGGACATAATATCTTTATTTTTATTTATTTATTTTTTTATGTGGTGCTGAGGATCAAACCCAGGGCCTCACACATGCAAGGCAAGCACTCTACCACTGAGCTACAACCTCAGCCCAGCAGGACAATATTCTTGATGTAAAAACCTAATATGAAAATATAAATATATTATAAAACTAAAAATATATTAGCAAAAATATTAGCAAACCAAACTCAACAACATCTTACAGGAATTATTTACCAGGATCAAGTGGGATTTTTCCTTGGGACACATGGATAGTTCAACATATGCAAATGAATAAACTTGATAAATTATGTTAACAAAATGAAAAATAAGAATCATATGATCATCTCAATAGATGCAAGAAAAACATTTGACAAAATTCAGTACCTTTTCAAGATAAAAAGTCTCAACAGATGAGATGTAGAGAAATGTACCTTGACATGATAAAGGCCATATGGAAGCAAAGACATCCTAATAGGAAAGTAAGAAGTGAAATCATCTGTTTGCTAAAAAACAATCTTATATATAGAAAATTAAAGATTCCACCAAAAAACTGATAAAATTGATAAACAAATTAAGTGGTTGGCATATTTTTAAAAAAATCAATAAAATCAGTTGTGTTTCTCTATACTCATAATAAACCATTTCAAAAGGAAACTAAGAAAACAATTTTATTATAATAATAATAAAAAGTTTAAATTCTTATGTGTTAATTTAACCAAAGATGTAAAAGACTTGTACATTGAGGAGCTCTAGGGAGGACTCGGCGGCGTGATCCTGGACAGATCTAAAGAAAACTGTTTCAGGACCCGTTAAAGCTACAGTTCCACATGGTGAAGGTCCAAAACGTGTTCTGGTCACTCAGCATATTCCTTCTCAGAACCCGTTGTCTACAAGCAGTGGCCAGGCTCAGCGGATCTTATGTCCTTCAAATTCTTCCCAGCGTGTTCCTTTGCACGCACAAAAGCTCGTCTCCAGTCAGAAACTGGGACAGAATAAATTGCAGGCAGCCAGTATACCTCGTCCTGTCTCCCGGCCAGTGAACAACACCCAGAAGAGTGAACAATCCCAGCCATCAGTGCCTGGAAATAATCCTGAAAGGGAACTGGCATCAAAACAGAAAAATGAAGACTTAAAGAAAAGGCAATGGACTTTGGACGATTTTGACACTGGTCGCCCACTGGGTAAAAGAAAGTTTGGCAATGTTTATTTGGCAAGAGTAAAACAAAGCAAGTTTATTCTGGCTCTTAAAGTGTTATTTAAAGCTCAGCTGGAGAAAAAAGGAGTGGAGCATCAGCTCAGAAGATAAGTAGAGATCCAGTCCCACCTCCGGCATCCTAATATTCTCAGGCTGTATGGCTATTTTCATGATGCCACCAGAGTTCACCTAATTCTAGAGTATGCACTGCTTGGAATGGTCTATAGAGAACTTCAGAAACTTTCCAAGTTTGATGAGCAGAGAACTGCTACTTACATAACTGAATTAGCAAACGCCCTATCTTACTGCCATTCAAAGAGAGTTATTCATAGAGACATTAAGCCAGAGAACCTGCTTTTTGGATCAACTGGAGAGCTTAAGATTGCAGATTTTGGGTGGTCAGTACATGCTCCATCCTCCAGGAGAACCACTCTCTGTGGCACCCTGGACTACCTGCCCCCTGAGATGATTGAAGGCCGGATGCATGATGAGAAGGTGGATCTCTGGAGCCTTGGAGTTCTTTGCTATGAATTTCTAGTTGGGCAGCCTCCTTTTGAGGCAAACACACACCAAGAGACCTACAGAAGAATATCACAGGTTGAATTCACATTCCCTGACTTTGTGACGGAGGGAGCCAGGGACCTCATTTCAAGACTGTTGAAGCATAATCCAAGCCAGAGGCCAACTCTAAGTGAAGTACTTGAACACCCCTCGATCACAGCAAATTCATCAAAGCCACTGAATTGCCAAAAAGGCAGAGTCAACTAATAAATAATCATAATCATGCAGGGAGAGAAGTGTTGAACCAGGGCTGCTATATAGTCTTCAGGAACATGCTGCTGAGACTTGTCTTACTGTCGAGTACCTACCTGCCTTTGACCTAGAGAGAGCACTATGGGAAATGTCACGTGTCCTGCTGAGCATGCAGTGCCTCAGCCTCCCTGCCCAGAGAGCTCCACTGTAGTAACCACACCCTTCAGAGGGAAAGCAGCCACAAGTCGTGCTGCTTTTAAGGGTTTCGCCTGTAGCTGTCCCCACAGCTGTGCCAGGCAAGGTGGCCTTGCAGGAGACAGACTGGGAGTCTTGTTGTGAAGAAAAGTGACCACTTTGCCCTGAATCGGCTAAGGAGCTGTATAGCAACCTTCAAGTACCTGAGTGTCTGTGTTAACTTATTGGATGGTCAAGCCTGGGAAAGCTGTTGGAATGAATATGTGACTTCCTTTTAAATGTTAAAATAAAGGTTTTTATATGTTTTTTTCCTTCCATGGCATCCCCTTAAAAAAAAAGACTTGTATATTGAAATCTATAAAATATAGATAGAGTGAAACACAAATAAAAATATATTATGCATTCATGGATTGAAAGAATAGTGTGAAGATGTCTTTGGATAATATATCCAAAGCAATCTACAGATCAGTGCAATCTTATCAGAACTACAAAATCATTTTCTATGGAAATTGGAAAAAATCCTTAAATGTATGTAGAACCATAGAAGACCATAAACAGTAAAACAATCTTTTTAACAGGAAGAAAAAAGCCGGAAGTACCACCCTCACTAATTCTAACACATATCACAAAACAACTGTAATCAAAATAGCATGTACTGTTCTGGCATGTACTGGCATAAACACAGATACACTAACCAAAGGAACAGAAATAAGACCATATGCCTATAGTCAATTGATTTTTGGCAAAAAAAATACCAAGAAGGACAGTCTCTTCAACAAATGGTATTGAGAAAATTGAGTATCCATATGTACACAATGAAATTAGATTCCTATCTTGTGCCTTAGGAGAATAATCAACTACAAATGGATTAAAGACTTAAATGTAAGACCTGAACCTGTAGAAGGAAAGCTCTACTGCATTAGTATCGTGAAATATATACATATTACAACTCACAGGATGAAATATTTGCAAACCGAACATCTGATAAGAGCTTAATATGCAAAATACACAAGGAACTCAACACTCAATAGAAAGAAAACAACCTGATTAGAAAATGGGGCCAAGGACCTGAATAGACATTTCTAAACAAAAATAAAGCAAACAAAAACACAGCCAAGATCCACCCACACCAGCCCATGAGGGACCCAGGGTCTCAGCAGGCCAGGTCCACCCATTCCCCAGGTAGGGTAGACACCCCCGACAGAGCCTAGCCTCTGGCACAGGACTGCCCCTTCTGACCAACAGACTACCAGGGGAGGTCAAGCCCAGCAGCCCAAATCCACCCACTCCAACTTGAACAGACCCAGATCCAGGATGCAGTAGCATTCATTGAGGGACACCAGCAGGGGCTGGAAGCTCAGCATCAAGGTGAGGTACAAATAATCTGCATGAGTACTATAAAAAATATAGGGAAGAAATTATGATATCTTAGATCCACAGTGCAAGAAAGGAAGACACATAGACAACATGAAAAAAAAAAAAAGAAAACCAAGGGAGGAAAGTGCCCCAAACAAACCAAGACACTATAATAACAGAACCCATGGAAATGAAGTTGATGGAATGTCAGAAAAGGAGTTCAGAAGGCTCATAATTAAAATGATCTGTGAATTAAAGAATGACCTAAATGAGCAAATACAAGCAAAACTTCAACAGTGAGATAAGAGTAAATACAAGTAGCAAAAGATTACTTTGAGAGACTCTGAAAAAGAAAAAACCAGTCAGAAATCCTTGAAATGAAGGATACAATAAATCAATAAATCAAATAAAAAACTCAATAGAAATCTTACCAACAGATTAGATCACTTGGAAGAAATAACATCAGATAATGAAGACAAAGTGTATACATTCTGGAAAATCAAGTTGATCACACAATGAAGATAGTAAGAAACCATGAACAGAACATCCAAGAATTATGGGACAGCATCAAAAGACCAAATCTAAAACTTATTGGGATACAGGAAGGCACAGAGTTTAAAACCAAAGGAATGCATGATCTCTTCAATGAGATAATATAAGAAAATTCCCAGAAAATACATGAGGCTTACAGGACACCAAATGTACAAAATTACAACAGATCTACACCAAGGAACATTATAATGAAAATGCCTAGCATACAGAATAAGGCGAGAATCTTAAATGCTTCGAGAGAGAGGAATCAGATCACATAGAGGGGGAGACCAATTCATATCTCAGCAGATTTTAACCCAGACCCTCAAAGCCAGGAGATCATGCAACAACATAGAGCAAACTCTGAAAAAAAGTGGATGCCAACCAAGAATCTTATATCCAGTAAGATTTGATGAAATAAAAACCTTCCATAATAAATAAAAGTTAAAAGAATTTTCAACTAGAAAGCCTGCACTGCAGAACATCCTCAGCAAAATATTCCAAAAAGAAATAAAAAACAATGATGGAAATCATCAGAGGGAGGGATTACACAAAAGGAAAATCTTATCAGAGGAGAAACCAAGTCATGTTAAATACCCCAAATAAACAAAGATGGCTATGAATACAAATCATGTCTCAATAATAACCCTGAATATTAATGGTCTAAACTCACCAATGAGTTTAGACCATTAATATTTTAATGACTTTAAAGAGTCAGACTGGCAGATTGGATTTAAAAAAGACCCAATGATATGCTGCCTCCAAGAGATTCATCTCATAGAAAAAGACATCCACAAAGTGAAGGTGAAGGGTTGGGAAAAAAATCATACCACTCACATAGACTGTGGAAGCAAGCAGGGGTTTCCATCCTCATAACAAAGCAGACTTAAAACTAAAGTCAATCAAAAAGGATAAAGAAGGACACTGTATACTGCTCAAGGGAAACATACACTAACAAGACTTAATTATAAATATATATGCCCCAAACTATGAAGCACCGATGCTCATCAAACAAACTCTTCTCAAGTTTAAGAGTCAAATAGACCACAACACAATAATTTTGGGTGACTTTAACACACCTCTTTCATCACTAGATAGGTCTTCAAAAATAAAATGAACAAAGAAATTATAGGACTCAATAATGCAATCAATAGCTTAGACCTGACATATATAGAATATTTCATCCTTCAATGAGAGAATACACTTTCTTCTCAGCAGCACATAGATCCTTCTCTAAAATAGACCATACACTGTGCCACAAAACAACTCTTAGCAAAAATAAAAAATTAGAGATACTACCCTGTATTCTATCAGATCAAAATGGAATGAAATTAGAAATCAATGATAAAGAAATAAAATCCACTCCAACACCTGGAGACTAAATAATATGCTACTGAATGAACAATCGGTTACAGAAAACATCAAGGAGGAGATTAAAAAATTGTTAGAGGTGAAGAAGAATACAGATACAATACATCTAAATCTCTGGGAGACTATGAAAGCAGTTCTAGAAGGAAAGTTCATTGCATGGAGTTCATTCCTTAAAAGAAGAAAAACTCAACAAATAAATGACTTAACATTACATCTCAAAGCCCTAGAAAAAGAACAGATCAACACCAAAGCAGAAGACAGGAAATAATTAAAATCAGAGCTGCAAACAATGATATTGAAACAAAAGAAAGAATTGAAAAAGTTGACAGAACAAAAAGTTGGTTCTTTGAAAAAAAAAAATAAAATTGACAGACCCTTAGCCAGGCTAACAAAGAGAAAGAGTAAACTCAAATCACTAACATAGGTGATGAAAAAGGAAATATCAAATCAGACACTACAGAAATACAGAAGATAATTAGAAATTATTTTTGAAAACTTGTACTCCAATAAAATAAAAAATATCGAAGGTATCAACAAATTTCTAGAGTCATATAATTTTCCAAAATTGAATCAGGATGATATACACAATTTAAACAGATCAATTTCAAGTGATGAAATAGAAAATGCCATCAAGTCTACCAACCAAGAAAAGCCCAGGACAAAACGGATACACAGCCAAGTTCTACAAAGACCTTTAGAGAAGAACTAATACCAATACTCTCCAATTTATTTCAGGAAATAGAAAAGGAGCAGCACTTCCAAACTCATTCTATGAGGACAATATTACTCTGATTCCAAAACAAGGCAAAGACATCAAAAAAGAAAACAAAACTCCAGACTAATATCTCTAATGATCATAGATGCAAAAGTCCTCAATAAAATTCTGGCAAATCAAATACAAAAACATATCAAAAAGAGTGCAGCATGATCATGTGGGGTTCATCCCAGAGATGCAAGGTGGGTTCAACATAATTCATCACATCAATAGATTTAAGGAATCATACGATTAAAAAGCATTTGACAAAATATGGCACCCCTTTATGTTCGAAAAACTAGGGATAACAGGAACATATCTCAACATCATAAAGGCTATCTACGCTAAGCCCCAGGCCACCATCATTCTTTTTTTATTGGTTGTTCAAAACATTACAAAGCTCTTGACATATCATATTTCATACATTTGATTCAAGTGGGTTATGAACTCCCATTTCCCCCACCCCGTATACATATTGCAGATTCACATGGGTTACACATCCACGTTTTTACATACTGCCATACTAGTGTCTGTTGTATTCTGCTCCCTTTCCTATCCTCTACTATCGCCCCTCCCCTCCCTTCCCCTCCCATCTTCTCTCTCTACCCATCTACTGTACTTCATTTCTCTCCCTTATTTTTTTCCCCTCCTTTCCCTTCACCTCTTATATGTAATTTTGTATAACCATGAGGGTCTCCTTCCATTTCCATGCAATTTCCCTTCTCTCTCCCTTTCCTCTCCCACCTCTCGTCCCTGTTTAATGTTAATCTTCTTCTCATGCTCTTCCTCCCTGCTCTGTTCTTAGTTGCTCTCCTTATATCAA